GAACCGGTCTGTATGTGGGATCCGAACCCTCGGCGGGAGCGCAGCCACACTCCTAAGCGGCGCACTGTAGCAGTGCGCCACCAGGCCGGCCCCATAGTATACTATTCTGATTGTGGTAAGTTATGACTTAGATGATGAACTCAAAAAAAAAAAATGAAAAATAAGTCATACTAATTTGCAAGGGCATTTTGCGTGGAAACAACTTTCTGACTTTCTTCAATTAAAAATTTACTCTCCATACATACTGTAATAGTGTGGTGGTAAGATTCCCCATTCATCTGTCCTGAAAATTTCCATGTTTCATCACACATTTCAACTCCAACATTAAATGTACTCAATGTTGTACATGCAGTATACTATTTTTATCTATTTCTTGAAATATTCCTTTAAATCAGGTACAGAATTAGTGGTCAAATCACATTCCCTATTCTGTTGAATTTTCTGTAGCTAAAAAGGTCTTTCCCACCTTTGTGTGTGTGTGTACTTTTTCTGCTTAATTTCTTCTCATATTCTGGAAGATCTGTTCATGAGCCAACTTTTTTTTTTTTTAAAGATGACAGGTAAGGGGATCTTAACCCTTGACTTGGTGTTGTTAGCACCAGGCTCTCCCAAGTGAGTTAATCAGCCATCCCTATATAGGGATCCAAACCCATGGCCTTGGTGTTATCAGCACCACACTCTCCCAAGCGAGCCACAGGCCGGCCCTCATGAGCAAACTTTTTTATTTGTCCGAATTATCAATGTGTCTATGAATGGTGTGCAGAAAAAATTAAAATCATCCCTTCTAAATAGATAACAGGAGGAAGTTAGCATACTTCTGGACAGTGGGGTTTAGGTCTGGAGAGGTGAGGAAGCAGGTGAGCCAAGCCTCAGGATCAAATCTAAGTGCTGCCTCAGAGCTAACAAGATTAAGTGAGAAGAGGTCCTTCATGGACATAGAAAAAAGTACATACAACCTTAGTGCTGAGAACAAGAAAGGAACCTAGGGCTGCCTGGTATGTCGAGGGTCCCATGGGGTCTGTGCAATACTGTGGTCTTTTAAATTCATTCTTCGTTAATGTACTGAAATACATATAACATAAAATTAACCATCTTAATCAATTTTAAGTACACAGTTCAGAGGCATTAAGTACGTTCATACTGGTGTGCAACCTTCAATGCCATCTGTTTCTAGAACACTGTCTTGCAAAACTGAAACACTATGCTTGTTAAATCATCATTCTCCACTATCCAATTCCCCCTGGCAAGTGGCATTCCACTTTCTCTATGAACACGACTACTCTAGATACCTGATATAAGAACTATGCAGTAGGACTAGCCAATTAGTTCAGTTTAGAGCATAGTGACATACCACCAAGATCAAGGGTTTGGATCCCCATACCAGCCAGGTGCCCCCCAAACCCCCCCCAAAAAGCTATACAGTATTTGTCTTTATATGAATAGCCCACTTCAACTAGTATAATGTCGCCAAGCTTCATCCATGTTGCATCACGTGAGAACTTCCTCTTTAAGGCTGAGTAATACTTCATTGTATGTATACATGACTTTTTGTTTATTCATTCATGTCAATAAACACTTGGGTCACTTCCACATTTTACCTATTGTGTAGATAACGCTGTTATGTACACAGGTGTACAAATACCTCAAGACCCTGCTTTCGTATTTAGTATATTCCCAGGCTATGAGTTTTGTTTTGATGGCTGGCCAGTGCAGGGATCCAAACCTTTGACCATGGTGTTGTAACTCCACACTCTAACCAAAATATGTTATTTCTATGTTTAATTTTTTGAGGACCTGCCATACTGTTTTTAACAGTGGTTGTACTGCTGTACATTTCTACTAACAATGCACAGGGTCCCAATCATTCCACATCCTTGCCAGCATTTATTTCTCGATAGGAACAATCCTAACATGTATTCATTGTACTTCTCCAATGAATAACGACATTAAGCATCTTTATGTGCTTACTGGCCATTTATATATCTTCTTTGGAGAAATGTTTATTCAAGTCCTTTCCCCATTTTAAAATTTGGTTGTCTTACTTAGCTCAGACTGCTAAAATAAAATACCATAAACTGTGTGGCATAAACAAGAAACATTTATTTATTTCTCACAGTTCAGGAGGCTGGGATGCCCAATGTCAAGGCACTGGCAGACTCGAGGTCTGGTGAGGACCTTTTTCCTGGTTCAAAGATGGCTATCTTCTCACTGTGTCCTCACATGGTGGAGAGCAAAGCTATCTCTTTAGGGACTCAAATAAGAACTCTAATCCCATTTATGTGGCCTCCATCCTCATGATCTTATCTAATCCTAATTACTACACAGAGGCATCTACTGCTATTACCATCGCATTAGAGGGGTGGGTTTCAACATATGAATTCAGGGGAACACATACGCTCAGTCCAAATATTCCTACCCTTGCCCCCCCCCCCAAATTTCATGTCCTTCTCACATGTAAAATACATTCATTCCATCCCAAAGGCCCCCCAAATCTTAATTCATTCCAGCATCATCTCTTAAGTCTAAACTCCTAAGTGTCATCTCAATATCATGTAAATCTGTTATGAGGGACACTTGAGAGTAGATTCATGCTGAGGTAAAATTCTTCAGCTGTGACCCTATGAAACCAAACCAATTGTGTGCTTCCAAAATACAATGGTGGGACAGGCATGGTACATTCCTATTCCAAAAGGCAGAAAACAGGAGAGAAGGAAAAGGTGATGGTTCCCTAGCAAGTCCAAATTCCAGAAGGTAGGCTGAAGACTTTCCACATCCTTTACATTTATAGGGTTTTCCTCCATTAAGCATTTTCATGCACACTCAAAGGCTGTGTGATAAATGAAAGAGTTCCCACATTCCCTACAAAGGGTCTATCTCCACTATGAGCTCTTTCATGTCTTTGAAAGGAACTGTGATAACTGAATGTTTTCCCACACATCTTGCACTCATAGGGCTTTTCTCCAGTATGAGTTCTTTCATGTATTCGAACAGAACTGGGATAATTGAAGGCTTTCCCACATTCTTTACATTCATAGGGTTTCTCTCCTGTATGAATTCTTTCATGTATTCGAACAGTACTGGGACACTCAAAGGCTTTCCCACATACCCTACATTTATAAGGTCCTTCTCCAGTGTGCAGCATCATATGTTTTCGAACCCTTTTGAGAGAAATGAATGCTTTCCCACATTCCTTACATTCATAGGGTTTCTCCCCAGTGTGAGTTCTTTCATGTATTTGAAATGAACTGGGACAGTCAAAGGCTTTCCCACACAGCTCACATTTATAAGGTCCTTCTCCAGTGTGCGTAATCATGTGTCTTCGAACATTTGGGAGAGAAATGAAGGCCTTCCCACATTCCTTACATTCGTAGGGCTTCTCTCCAGTGTGAGTCCTTTCATGTGTTCGAACATTACTGGAATAACTGAAGGTTTTACCACATATCTCACATTTATAGGGTTTCTCTCCAGTATGAGTCCTTTCATGTTTTCGAACAGAACTGGGAAAAATGAAGGCTTTCCCACACTGCTGACATTTATAAGGTCCATCTCCAGTGTGTCTAATCATGTGACTTTGAAAACTTGTGAGAGAAATGAAGGCTTTCCCACATTCTTTACATTCATAGGGTTTCTCTCCAGTGTGAGTCCTTTCATGTATTCGAAATAAACTGGGACGGTGAAATGCTTTCCCACATTCCTGACATTTATAAGGTCCATCACCAGTGTGCCTAATCATGTGACTTTGAAAACCTGTGATAGAAATAAAGGACTTCTCACATTGCTTACATTCATAGGGTTTCTCTCCAGTGTGAGTTCTTTTATGTATTCGAAATAAACCAGGTCGATCAAAGACTTTCCCACATTCCTCACATTTATAAGGTCCATCTCCAGTGTGGGCTATCATGTGTCTCCGAACACTTGTGAGGGAAATAAAAGCTTTCCCACATTCCTTACATTCATAGGGTTTCTCTCCAGTGTGAGTCCTTTCATGTCTTCGAAAGGAGTTACAATAACTGAAGGCTTTCCCACATTGCTTACATTTATATGGTTTCTCTCCATATTCCTGATACTCATATGGTTTGTGTCCAGTGTGAGATATTATGTGCCTACTAAGGGATGAATGATGCATGAAGACTTTCCCACACAAACTACATTCATATGGTTTTACTACAGCAGGGATTTTCTTGTTCAGAGTAAAATTTGGAATTTGGTTGAAGGTTTCTCCAAATTGACTTCGTTCTTTATTCCCAAAGAGTCTCTCTAGCATATGATTGCTGTAACAAATGGAAAGCATATTATTAATCACTTATTAGTCTACAGTAGTGTCCTAGGCTTTCATATTCACTCACCACTCACTCACTGACTCACTCAGAGCAACTTCCAGTCCTGTAAGCTCTATTTATGGGAAGTGCCTTATGTAGAGGTGTACCATTTTTTATCCTTTATAATGTATTTTTACTGTACATTTCCAATATTTAGATATTAGAGTACTTCAAAATGATCAAGGAAAATGAAATTAAAAAGGTACTATGAACCTTTCTTTCAACTTTTTTAAGACCCGCTGTATCTTTACATACACAGATACTTAGTACTGTGTTACAATTTCCTAACAGTATTCTGTACAGTAACATGCTGTACAGGTTTGTAGCCTGGGAACAATGTACTATGTCGTACAGCCTAGGTGTGTAGTAAGCTGTAGCTACACCATCTAGATTGTATAAGTACACTCCATGATGTTCACATAATGACAAAAGTGCCTCACAATGCATTTCTCAGAACTCATACCTGTCACCACGCAACATGTGTCTGTATACATTCTCAGTGAAAAAGTTCTATAAATAAACAGTTTTGAAGCTGGACTTATTTGTTTTGTTTTCTTATTTTAAAAATATTATGACATACTAAGATTCACTCAAGGGACACACTGCTTTCTCTGGTGAGTGAAAATTACCTTAAACTTTGCCCCTCATTTTTGTACCGATCTTCCATGTTCTGGTCTTCCCATTTTTTCCCTATCGGGCAAGAAAAATGATGATAAATTTTTGGAAATTATAGAAAAATAATAAGATTCTAGGTTCAAGATGAGCTGCAACCAAGCCTGATTTAGTCACCAAAGCATACTGTTTCTACATTCCAAGCCTAATAGCACTGATGTGCAAGAAACACTTTTTTAATTGACTAAGAGAAAAAATGATGTCATCTTTACCTACAGAGGCCAGGTTCCTGAAGGTTTCCCGCATCACATCTCTGTAGAGTTTCTTCTGGGAAGGATGCAGCAGAGCCCACTCTTCCAGGGTGAAGTTCACAGCCACATCCTCAGAGTCCACTGGGTCCTAAAACATCCCATACATGTTGAATGGAGGAAGGGCAAGAGAACACCACAGGACTATATACACTGAATTCATAAAAGTTCACAAATCGTACTGTGGTCTTCAAATGCTAATTTTATGATAAATGAACATGTGTCCACACTCACTTCCTCAGGAATTAAACAGCACCATGAAAACCTTGAACTAATCTCTATGTTTTTACTGTAGCTAGTACAAGTTTTTTGTTCTCTAATGGCAGGATCCAGTTTACCTTGGAGAAATGAGGGAAATGCTATACAAAGAAAACAAATTTTAAGACCATCATTCCTTGTGAAAAAATTTCTTCCATTTCCTGACTACCCACCATATCACACACCACTCAGCACTCCATAAGGCACAGGGTCAAGCATGGATGAGGTTTCAATGAATAAACACACACTGAAGAAGTGGAAGCTTTTCCTTCTATTCCCTTCACCAAATATGAAAGGCCACAAGGCTTGTAGAAATTCAAATTGTAACAAAGTCCAGCTGACTATATTTTCCAGAAGTACTCAGGACCATTAATAGTCAGATCCAGCTGGATAAATGAAAATATTCCTCTGCAAAAGTATTAATTTTAATGTATGTAATATTTATCATAGACTCAGTGTTTTCTTTTATTCTCTGTCCCATTACATTATATAGGAAGTTACTGGGAGGACAGAACTCAGGCCTTATGAAGATGGCATGACAACTTAGACCTTTACAAGACCCCCTATACTGATGAGCCCCCGGGCAATTTTCCACCCAGTTTTTTCACATAATGAGAGCTTTCCACCTAATGAGAAGATAAAATGCTAGAAGAGCTCTTTCTGGCAACCCATAGCAATGTACCCTGGGCCTTGCTGACCTTGAGGAACAGGTTAAGAATTGCAATTTCCAGGATATTTCATTTACATCCATAACAGTTTGAAGGTGAATTTGCCACAATCATAAAATATATAAAGAGTTCAACAGCGCTTTCTTTTTTAACATAAAATCCTTTCTCCAATTTCAGGAGGAAATGATTTTTTTTTTTTTTTTTAAACAAGATGACCGGTAAGGGGATCTCAACCCTTGACTTGGTGTTGTCAGCACCATGCTCAGCCAGTGAGCTAACCGGCCATCCCTATATAGGATCCGAACCCATGGCCTTGGTGTTATCAGCACCGCACTCTCCCGAGTGAGCCACGGGCCGGCCCGAGGAGGAAATGATTTCTGACCAGTCACTATGACATTGCATTATGTAATGTCAAAGCAATATGAAACAAGAGAAAAGATGGCACATTTTCTCAGAACTCTATGCCCCCAAAATGTCCTCTTTCAAAATATTTTAAGTCCATAAATCCCAACTCAGAATGTTTAAGAATCAACAACTTTTAACTTTTTTTTTTTAAGGGGATCTTAACCCTTGATTTGGTGATGTCAGCACCACACTCTCCCAAGTGAGCCAACCGGCCATCCCTATGTAGGGACCCGGACCCATGGCCTTGGTGTTATCAGCACCGCACTCTCCCGAGTGAGCCACGGGCCGGCCCGAGGAGGAAATGATTTCTGACCAGTCACTATGACATTGCATTATGTAATGTCAAAGCAATATGAAACAAGAGAAAAGATGGCACATTTTCTCAGAACTCTATGCCCCCAAAATGTCCTCTTTCAAAATATTTTAAGTCCATAAATCCCAACTCAGAATGTTTAAGAATCAACAAAAGTACTTCTCTAAACTTAGGAGGAATAATGAATGTCAAAGTCTTCTGAAGAACAAGGTGATGGCTTGCCTAGCATGTATCAAAGATTCTGAAAGTCTTAATATGGTGGACAGCACAGTATTAGCATAGAGATAAACAGACAGACTAAGGGAAATAGTCTCCACTGGGCCCGCATTTGATATGAAAGTTGATTAATGATAGAATAGACACTGTACGGCATTGTACAGTATTAAGAATAACCAAAGAATCACCAACACTTTAATACATGGAGCAGAGACAAACTGCTATCTAACTGGAAAAATGTACTGTATTCCCTTCTATGCCATGAACAATAATAAATTTATTATTGGTTTACGTAAGACAGATAAAACAAAAACATTTTCTATAGATAAAGACAAATTTTTCTTGATGCAAAAACAGGAAGAATTTTCTCCTATAAGAAAAACAGTAAGCAATAAAGAGACAGATTCAAATATAGTAAAATTAAGGGAGTTGAAAAACAAAAAACAAAGTAGATGAAAAATATCTGCAATACATGCAATATAAAAGAACTAATGTACAGAGTAAAAATAATAAACACATGATTAAAAAGTGGGAAAATAATCAAAACATATTTAACAAAAGATTAAGAAAAAAGTTATGAAAAATGTTCCATCTCCTTGGTAAAAAGTAGCCATATAAAATGTCAAGTAGTTCAGATCTCTGTACCGGCCAGCCACCAAAACAAAAAACAAAAGATGCCGACTAGATCCCAGTTCACACTAATTAGGACAAAAATTAGTCAGTGAGATAATCCCAAGTGTTGATAACCATTGCAAACAGATAAATAGTTATGCACAAATGGAGAAAGGGCCAACTGATATACTTCATTACTATTTCCTGTAAATTTGAACTTGATCATGATCCAGCACAGCAATTTTTCTCTAATGTCCTGAGATTTTGTTGTGCATTTATAGTATTTGCAGACTGAAACAAAAATGATAGAAACAGTATTTCACATGAGAGCAAAAAATAAACTTGAAAACGCTCAAACACCATAACCACTGGACTGAATGCATGAATAGGATGGCCAGCAACATCAAACACCAGCATCTGTGAAACATACTGAGCAAAGAAACCACGGAATGCAAACCCTTTCTCTGTAATTCTCCTAACACTCATGTCCTGAAAGTTCAAAAGGGGCAAAACTAAAAAACACAGCTCAGTGAGAAAGAAAAGACGTTAACAGTATTAAGAATAACCAAAGAATCAGGACAATGGTCATCTATGGGGCATGACAGAAATGAGTCAAGGAGAATATAAGGAGACTCTAATCACAGCGTAAGACCCAGTTATGAAGCTTGATGATGACTCTAAGGATGTTTATGTTGTATTAATAAAACATACCACAAAACGTTTTTTTCATTCTTCTGTGACTATTTTCTTTTTTTGTCTTTTTCCGTGTCCGGCAACGGATCGCAACCCTCAGTGTCGCCCCTGTACCGGACTGGGACCGGCAACGGGATTGCAGCCCTCGGTGTTGCTCCCGTGTCTTGCTCAGCCAGTGAGCAGGAACTGGTCTGTATGTGGGATCCGAACCCTCGGCGGGAGCGCCGCCGCACTTCCCAAGCGGTGCACTATAGCAGTGTGCCACCGGGCCGGCCCATTTTTCTTAAAAAATATATTCACAGAAGATTTAATTAAGTTTGGAAAAGAACATAATCTGTATGTATTCATTTGCCTTGAAATGTGATACAAATTCTGACAATGAGCCAAGTATTTATTTAGAAAGAACTGGTTATGTAAATCTCCCATCTTATGCACCTTTAAAACATGAAGGGTGGCAAGTATTGATATGAAAATATCTGAAGGATATGTGAGTAGAGCAATTAAGTGAAGTGTATTACAATATATACACCATCTTACTGTTTGTGTCACTGTTCTAGTCACCTGCAGAGGAAGGTGGACCCCTCACCCAAGGCTTGGTTCCGATGTGAGACAGATGACACAACACACATACCAAGAGGGTATGGAAGGGTCTACTACTTCATAATGAAGGTCTCTGGGGAGAGCAGGGCAGGCCTCTCCAGCAGGTGTGAAATGGCTTGAGAGAGCAAGGAAAGGTGCCTGACCTGGGGTTTTTACCGATATTAGGGGGTGAAGTAGGGTGAGATTCCATGAACTAAAATACAGGTTTGCATGGACTGAAAATTTTGCCAGCAACAAAGGAAAGATCCCAGGTTTCATGTGAGTCAGAAGGGGAAGAAGGAGTGTTGAGGAGTTAAACTTGTCAAGAAACATCAAAAAATGGTGTCAGAGACTTCTGGTTTCTGGTCTGGTGTGTAAGCAGCTTAGATGCCATCTTTTCCGCCGTCAGAGAATTGAGGTCACAGCGCAAATCCATAACCCCCAAACTGGAGAGTCAAGCAGGAAAAGTAGACATTTTCAATTATGCTCAGAATATTCCCTTCAAGGCCTGTCATCAAAACAATCCTCAACTAATCTAATCACTGGGATTTCACCAGAGCCTAACTGATCTGGGAGAAGGTAAATACCTTTGTAGCATTCCTGCCACCTATGGGAGGGGGGGCGACCAGAAACAAGAGTGAAGATAGTTTTTTCCCTTCTGACAACCAAGTGGTCATCAGGGTTATGGGCCTCCTCCATGGCAATTATTGCCCTAAAAGGTTTAACGGCTCCAGGTTTAAGTCACATTTGAACTAACCCCTCTCCTGTGCCTGGGTGTTATCCCCTATAACCCTGAGAGGCAGGATCTTTGTGGTGTTAGAGGCACAGGCAGCGGCAGCACCAGGTGTACTTACGGGTCCTGGTGAGCCCTCTTCTATCAGGAGTACAGACTCAGCCCTCCACCTAATGCTGCCTCCCACTCCATTCTCTTTCTCTCTTTTTAAAATGACTGTTCTTTCAGGTAGTCTTTTCCCACAGCATCCTGCAGGACAAAGTATGGCAGCAGTCACAGCTTCAATCTTAAAGGCACAGAGGGTTCCAGACCAAGACTCAAAGGACTACTTTGAGAGCCCCAATCCCATACTCCTGTTTCTAAATGCCAAGGAATTCTGATACTGCAAACTTGAGTCAGTTGAATACAGACCCAGATCTGTTGGATCTCAACAAGGTAACAAAGAGGAGCATAGCTTATGGCAAGAGCTCCCCAACAAGCAGCAGCTCAAAGTGCACCCAGCCATCAGCCAACAGAGCAGATTAGCAAGTCAGAGCAAGAGAAGACAGGCCCAGAGGGGTGGTCAATGTCTATGCCTCTGTTCACACCAATAATGGTGTATCACACACACTGAG